AGAAACTTAATGAATCCTTGATGCTTAAAGTCATATGGTTTTAAAAGGTTCTCTTATCTAAACATAGAGGCTCTCTAAGTTATTGTTTTATTTCTAAACTTGAAATTTTAAATGCTCTTGAGCATTCAGAACTGAGGGGTGAGGTAGGGTGGGAGAAACATGCTCTGTGCTGAAAATGTGTTATAGTTCATCATGAAAGAAATGTTTCTCTAACAACAATGTGCCCACTCGTGACTGCAGCAGAGGCGAACAGGATTTCATCAGCGTTGGCCTTGTGTGCTTTTCATCAGGGCACCGTGAAAACAAGACATGCATATGAACAAAGCAGAACTAGGTAGCAGAAGACAGCCGCCATGCTTTTGAAATACATGTGTGGCATCCGTGCTCTTCTTCAGCCTTGCCTTGTTTCCCTAATTGAACATCAAGATTATATACTTAGAGGCTTTGTCATGTGGTTTCTAGATTTCTCTTTTTTCTCCCTTGAGTTTTTAGTTGCCTGTGGGTTTTATCTCTTATTCCTTTTTATGATCCCACCCACTGAAAGACAAATGTCATTGGAAATCGAGTTTGGGGTGAATAGGTAACATGGGTGTCAGATTTCTATGCATAAGGCATCCCAGGGGCAACCGGAAAGCCAGCTGGTGGTGATGTGCTGAGACTTGTGGGTAGCTGGAAATAGTCTGTGGGTCAGGGTCAGGAGAAGAGAGGGTCAAGAGTGAAATAGTACAGAGAGCTGGAACTGGAGAACAGAGTACCGGAAACTGGAGAAGCTACCTGGCTCCACTGGATTAGTTAGCAGAGATCAAAGTGAGAGAGGTTCTCTAGCATACAATATATAGAATTGTAGGTGTGTGTGTATGTGTGTGTGTGTAAGAAAAAAGATGGCTTCAAAATTGATAGGCGGCACTGACAAGGTGAATTGAAAACTAAACCACACACTTGTGAGACATGATAGATGTATGCGCACTAGGCTTTGTTATAAACTTCCTGAGGCTTGGGAAACTCTCAATGACAAAGAAGTATTCTGTACAGGAGTGGATTTGCAGTGGGCGTGAGGCTAAGAAGAAGATAAAGCAGTAAATTGCGTGTTCTGCCACTGCGGTCTGTCAACAGAAGGTCAAACCCACCTGATCAACGTCATCCTAATCCTGAGTTACACGCGACTAAGCAGCACAGTTAACGACTTTCCAGGTAGCTGCTACAGTCCCTTGTCACTATTCGCCTTCCCACTCCCTTGGGGGCCCCGTGGAAGAATTTAAACTAAAACACTGCGCTATACGAAGCAGAGATGGCCTTGGCTGAAGCCAAGTTCTCATCTAGGACAATGACAGCTTTCCTTGCCTGAGACTTCCTGTGCTCTGTGACCCACTGTCATCACTATAACCCAGAGTGCTGAGACAGTCCACAGGGAAGCAGGTACCTCAGCACAGGGTGGGGGCGGAGGAGAGGGCCTGGCAAGATGAGGACTTTGCGGCCCATCCCGCCGACAAAGCAAAGCTGCTGGGGTTGAACAAGGCAACATCTGCTGACAATATGCGGCCCCGAGACCATGAGAAACACAGAACGAACAATAAACCACTTAGGGAAGTTGGGAAATACACATATAAAGAAACAGACAACGATTCTGGTTAAAGAGGGGGGGAAAAACAACCCACACAAAATCAGAACATTCATTTGGGTGTGCTTGACATGAAGATCTCAATGAGGCTGCCAAAGTTATAAATTTACTGAAGAAATGAGTAAAATTTTCGAGTAAAAAAAAAAAGAAATCAACCTGCTCTTGAAATGCTAGATCATGTGTTACTAAGAAGCTGAACAATGAAGAGAAGGCAGATTCACTCTGAAGCTGGTCTGCAGGCAGTAGGTATGAGTGAATGACCCTGAAGAACTGAGGCCACACTGGATGGGAAGAGGATGTGGCCAGGTCTGACACACGCTTCTCAGCCTCCTCCTGTGGCTGGAATGTCGACCCTTCCCCTCACTTCTGCTCCTCCCTAGGCCCCTGCCCTGAGCTCATCTGCTCACTTCCTGCTTGGCCTTCTCTTGGAGGCTGTCCAGCTGGTTCAAAAAGCCTTGAAGCTGGAATTGATTGTGTGTGTGTGTGTGTGTGTGTGTGTGTGTGTGTGTGTGTGTGTGCGTGCGCGCGCGCTAAGGCCTGTCTGGATTAACCAAGATCTCCTCTCTCCTTTGATGTGGAATTGGTGCTTGTCCTATGGATGATTCTGAGCTTTGGTTGGCAAGTAAATCCCTCTAGCTCATACAGAAACTGTGTTAAACGTCTTCTAAACAGCTGTGGAGAGATCTTCTGTGGCAATTCTGGCCTTTGGAGATCCTCTTGTGGCTTCTAGAAAGACATTCTGAGCAAGCCCTCAGAGAAACTCTTCATTTCTCCTGATTCTGCCTCAAAACAGAGGCCACTGCAAACGAACCTTCTCAGAACTGGGCATCAGAGACTCAGCACAAAATGCAAGCTTCCTCCCAACCCCTAGGTTTAGCCAGAGGAGGGCCTCTTCTAGCCAGGTTCCCTAATCCAAACCAGTGTGGCTCTGTCAGAGATCCCTGGAGTCACTTAATCGCTCGCCTCATGATAGGTCAGGAGTTACCCTACCTCGAAAGTCATGAGTTGGTTAAGGTTTTAGAAACATCTGAAACTCCTTCAGTTAGTTGTGGTGTGTGTGTGTGTGTGTGTGTGTGTGTGTGTGTGTGTGTGTGTGTGTGTGCATGTGTGTTGGTGGGGGAGAGGGCTAAGCTTCCTGTGGCAGATTTCTTTTTATTGCACTCTTATTTCCCAGTCCTGGCCCATTGTATCTCAGAGTCACACTGCATTTCTCTCCACTTTTCCACAAACAATAGCAGACACTAGAAACTGTGCAAGGAACAGACCTGTCTTTCGGGAACACAGCTCGCTTCCATGGTGAGGAGTGGTTTTGTGTGTTGGGGCCAGCTGCTTCTGTTTTGTTATAGCTCTCTTCCTTCCTTGATGGCCCCAACAAGCTGTTACCCACTGTCTCACGGTATCTCACTGTATCTCTACAGTACACAGAGCCCCACCCCTTTCAGAGCGGGCATGAGCACAGAGCTGGGGGGCAGGAGCAGAGGCAGGGCATGGGCGCTCATGTAGTGTCACAAAGAGTCAGGTGGGAACCCAGTTCTGCAGCTGGAAATACAGTGTGCGGCTGGGCTGTAAAGCTGCAGAACCCACACGTCTAGAGTTCTGGCTTGAATTTTTGCATGATATTGGAAAATATATCCACGCTATCATAAGAACAGAAACAACAAAACTGCAGGAAAAGCAACCTGGATATGTGGGAAACAGTTTGAGTGTCCGCTGTGTTCATTTCATGACTCTGAGTGGTCTTACTTCCTGTCTTGGGCATTCTTTTCTGATTAGAGTGGGAATACAAAAAAAGAAAAAAAAAAGTTTGCAGCCCTTGCTAGGCATGCTGTCTGTGATGTTAACAGCCCACATGCCGGCTGTCCGCACATGCCAGCCCTCCACTGAAGAAGGAGCGGGATCGGGACCTGGCGCCGTGCAGGCGAGTGGCTCCACTCCCAGATCCATCACCCAATAAAGAGCCATTGTGGGCTCTGGACCCTTCAACACGCAGGACAAACGCCTCAAATGAAAACGCACAATGTACGTGAGTGGGACTAGAAACTTGAATGGAACATAATCGCTTCCCAAGTGCCCATTGCCTCGTATTATTTTTTTCAGGGAACTTCACTCCATCATTCAGTCCTTGCCTAGTGTAATGGGACTGATTTCCATTTCTCAGTTGCTAAGGGAAGATGATTGCTGTGACGACTATTAAGGAGTATGGGTGTCTAGAGGCAGTGGGGAACCGGAGTGGAAAATTGTCGGGGTGAAGGGGAAGGGTCTAGGGGTTGTGAGGAGGAGACAGACCTTGTGGAAAGAGAATGGATTCTTTCTGTGTGCAATCTTGTCTCTCTGCACTTGAGAAATCTGAGACCAAGCATGATGGGGGGAGGAACCAAACCAGGCCGAGACTAGAGATGGGTGTGATTCCAAGAGTGACACTGAGACATGACAAAGTGGGGCCTCAGGACAAAGGCCCCAGGCTACGGGCATTGGCTGGGCAGCCAACAGGGATTTTGAGCTTAGTGTGCTTGAGGCTGCAGATCTAGACAACAGTTAGGGGGGCTGGAAGGGGGTGAAGAGTGCAGGCTGAGCCACAGTTCCCATCTGGTGACCTGCGGTGACCCCTGTGTCTAACAGCCAACCTCACTACAGAGGACAAAAAAGAAAAGAAGGAAAGGAAAGGAGAGCAAAGGGGAGGGAAAGAAGGGTTGAAGAAGAAAGGGAAAGAGAGGGAGGGGAGGGAAGGAAAGGGAGGGACTGTGAGCTACTTAGTTGAAATGAAATACACTTTCGCCTTGTCCACCACATTCCTTATTCCTTCATTTGAGGACTGTTTTGTTTGCCTTTTCTAAAAGAAACTAATTTTTTATTTTTATCTGTAAGTCAAATATGTCTTTTAACTAATCACTTTTAAACAAATACATGTTCTCTTTCCAATAACTGTCTTTGATATCTTGCTGACATTATTTTTCTTACCGGTGCCAGGCACTGAACTCAGAGCCCTGAGCCTGGTAAGACAACGCCATGACTGAGCTGCACATCAGGACCCATGTCTTAATTTGAAGGGATTGTCCCTTACCGCAGCTCTGTGTCAATGTGTAAAACTCTCCACAGATACACAAATGAACAAAGAAAAGCAGCCCTGGATTGCGAAAGGATGAAAATACACCAGAAAGGTCAGGAGCCAATGTCAAAAACCATTGTTTCATCCACCACCTTTGATCAGTATGGTTCTGTGTCTAATCAGAGTGATGACAGGTTATTTGAAATGTGTGTCATTTCTGTCAATGAACAACATTATACTTCATATTGAGTAAACTGGATCTAGTTGAAAAAACAAAACTACCAGTAAGTATTTCTCCCAGAACCCGCATTAAGTTCCCTCGGATTGGCAACTCACCCGAGTTAAGCAAAATGATAGATTTGAGGCACACAAACTCTTCGCCCTGCAGGTTCATCATGCGGAACCGGGTTGATGTCGCCAGCAGCATGTCAAAGATCTCCACCATGCCCTCTACGCACTTCCCCTGGTTCCTGAGGAAACACATTTTACAAAGCATTCAGGCACAGAAAAGCTTCCTCAAGGCAGGACGCTCACATTCCTAAAACTCCCCAGCCTCAAATCCACAGCTGGCATTAGAACCCGCTTCCTTCTGTGAGCATGAGCATGCACTTAAGTTTGAGAAGGCGAGACAGAAAAATGTTTTTGATCATCAAGCCTTAAAATAATTCCAAGAGTTCTGATTCTCAGTGGCCAAATCTGTGTTGGATGTGGAGTTCTGTGGCTTATCGGTAATCAAGGATGCTAAGGCTTGGGTGTGACCATGTATCAGCTGCTATGGGACTGGTACATAGGGATGCAGAAAAATCCTGTGTTCTAAAATGCCTGTGGCTTTCCGTTAATGTACAGTGTCTCCTAGTGTGACTTGTGATACTCTTGACGACCAGGAAAACTCTAGCAGCCATGAACCATGGGTTTGGGCTGGGGTCACTTTGCTACACGGGATGGCAAGTGAGGCTGGCTTAGTCAGCGGCGTTCAAGTTCACTGTGAGAGAAGTAGGACTTGATCAGGAAGTAAGGATGCATGATTGGAAGACAAACAGACCTTCACATGGAAGGGAACAGAGTGGTGAGTTGGGCTTGAGAAGGAGACAGGAAATACATTTGGAAGAGTTGGGAACTGTTGACCAATGGCATGCTCTGCATCACTCAGGGTGAGTCAGGCTTTTATCTTGTACCAAAGAGTAGGCATCAAGAATTTTGCCTCCGTGTTGACAGGCAGTGAGTGAACAAACTCAAAGTGAAACTCTATATGAAAGAAAATTCATTCATTCTGAAGCACAGTGTCTCTTAAGAACTGAAAATACAGGAAAAAGTTAAACTTAGGGATAAATGTTTGCATGCGCAAACATCCATAAGATATAAAAGCATTTGAAACATAAGCATTAACGCATGCGTGAGCACTGGGATTTGTTTCTTCTCAAAGTTCTCCCTCCTGTCAGCACTGAACAAAACGGCCTGTAATCATGTGTCCTTTGATGGGAACAATCTGAAAGATGCATCATTAATTAGGCGATTTTGTCACTGTGTGAACCTAATAGAGTGTACTTAAACTGAGAGAGTTGCTGGGTGATAAACTCTTGGGGTACTAGGTTATACACATGGTCCATTGCCGACCAAAACACTGCTAGGCGGGGCATGACGGAAGTCGTGTGGGTGCCTCTTTCTTCACTGACATTGAGTTTGGCTTTAAGCGCCATGCTGTTGCAACAATTCATCCAGTAACAACACTCCTATCTGTCTCTCATGTTATATACGGGAAGTGCTAAAGCACACTTTTAGAATTGGGATTCCTAGGCGAGAGGACATGCATGTTCTTAATTTTGGTAAACCGCTTAAATATAACATTCAAAAGCTTATACCTATAAATACAAAAATAGATACAAAAAGAACTTGATTTTCATCCTGAAGTTTATATGTAAGCTTCTCTCATGCTAAAAACGTTTTACTCCTTGAAATACACTGAAGCCCCATGTATATTAACATGAAAAATTTCTCTGACCTTTCTACTCTTACCCTTTGTCTGCATTTTCTCTCAAGATTATTGGTCATGTTTATATTGATTATTAAGAACTCTTTATATAGTATAGCACTTAGTCTTGTGTTAGAAGTATTTTTCATGGTTTGTAGTGTATTTCTTTCAATTTTGTTCTTGGTATTTTTTTCCTACAAAATACTTTAATTTATAGTTCTAGAACAGTACCTTTTATTTGAGGGGATCTCTCTCCATTCCAGTAGCATTTAAATGTTCTCCTATGTTTCTTTCTAGTTGAAGATCCACACTTTTTTGTTTCAATCTTTGCTTTTCTGAGATACGTTCATTTTTCTGACAACTCTATCAAGATATAACTGCCTACTGTACACTCAGCCGTTGAAGGAACAGAAGTCATTAAATTTTCATCTATTCACAGAGTTGTGCCACACAGACTTTGAGACTTACTGCGGTGCAATAGGTAAGACAGGATTGAGCATACTATTTTTCTTCCAGGTAGCAAGGGATTTTTATTACTGTCACTTAGTTATTAAGACATCTTTAATCACACTGGCCTGAAATGTACAAAGTACTTCTGATATTTTCATTCCTGTCCAGCAAGCTTAAAGTATTTTTTTACATTAAGGAATTTAGAGCCAAACTGGTAAGTGAAACTCCACAGCTCTACCAACCAGAGAAAAGAATATCAACAACACAAATTTCTTTTATTTTCCTTTCTTGTTCTATTTTAACACCTCCCACAAAGCTTACCGAGTATCTACTTTGTACCACTCACTGGCTACATTCCAGAGTAAGTTGAACAAGAGAGGCATGGGTTTTGATAACATGTCAAGCATGGAAGTGGAATGACAAGAAAAAAGGCAAATGCAATGCGGTGGATATTCCCTTAGAAGGTATGTAGAGCCTCTACCTACAAGAGCAAGTTCCCAGGATACAACCTGGATAGCTTAGTATTCCCAGACTAACTTTATTGAGCTTTCATGTGCAATGGAGTGTCCACACAGGAGGGATGGCCTTTAATTATCCAGCAGAGGAATAGAGGGACGTGTCTTCAAGAGACCGGCTGGCCATTGGAGCTGAGTATCACATGTGTCGCGCATTCGCTTTGACTAGAAATCTGGATGGTTAGGAGTTCAGTAGAAGCGGAGAGGGACCTCTGAAAGCTCCTGTTGGACCCTGGGCTTAGACTGGCGGTCCTGGGGAAAGCTCTCTCGGCCCTGGTGGCAGAGTACAGACCACAGGTAGGTTTTTCTGGTTACCTAAGTTGAATTTTTTAAAGTAGTACATCTTCTTTCTAGTGAAAAGAATAAGCAAGGATGGGGGAAATGTTTGGAGGAGGAAGCTTTAAAAATAACAGCTCACAGCCAAAATAGAGAAATGTTCCTTTCTCAGTAAACCGTCTCTGTTTACTTAACAGACTGCACAGCCGCAGGGGAGGGAGCCTGGGTGTGGGAGGGAGCCTGTGTCACCTGCTGTGAGCAAAAGTTCAGCTCAGAAACTGAGAAAGGGAAGGTTTAGCAGCTCTCTCCTCTCAGAAGTCTCCCACATTTCCCCATGAGGAGCTTTTCTTAACTCCTCCAACCCCTTCTCCCTGGCTCTCCTGTCATTCCCAACCGGCAATTATTACCTGGAGATGGCATACAAGGCTTGTTCCTCAGGTCCTGTTAGAGGCTAGACATCGTGCATTTCTCAGATTCTCAACTAAGTTCTCATGTATGTGTGGTGTATGTGTGAGTATGTGTCTGTGTGGTATGTGATGTGTGTGTGTGGTGTATGTGTGTGTGGTGTGTGTAAGTGTGTGTGGTATGTGGTGTATGTGTGTGTGGTGTGTGTAAGTGTGTGTGTGTGATGTGTGTAAGTGTGTGTGTGCTGTGTTTAGGGCATGTGGAGAAAGCACACTGTGAGCACTAACCGCAGAGACATAATCATAGCATCCTGCCTGCTGTACAAACACACATGCTTCGTGTTTGGGAGTCTCTTTGAGAGCTCAGCGCCATGAAACTGAATTGTCTGCACTGTGCCAGGAGCAGCTGGAAGAAGTTCATGCTAACATCTCATGAGAATGAACTCACTAACCATTTCAATGGCAGCAACTCAGAGTAAACACCAGAGCCATCTACCTCTTGTGAACCAAATAAGAATTATGTACCCCATGGTCCCGTGGATATGCTCAGCCTGTCAGAGAGAATGTGGGCTGAGTCCTGAGGGCTGGATGGTGGCATGGTACCTATGGGTCCTCCTTGATGTTAGTGCTTGGAGATCTACTTAATAAGCTGTGTGTCAACTGGCGTGCCAGCACAAATGTGCGGACACCAAAGGCCGGCTTCTGTCACCTGCCTGACAGAAAGGAATCCCTCCCTGTTAGCTGTAGGCCTGGCACAATGCAGTCAGAGATTCTTTTCAAAGACCTGCCAGGATGTTCCATGCTAAAATCAAGGAGAAAATCAGACTAAGACATTTAATTTAGTCTTCAAGGGAACAGATGCACTAAGCATACCAGAAATGGATGATAACTAAGAAGTTAGAGGTGACATTATTCTAAGGCAAGATGAGGCTAAATCCATGAAATGCTCCTGAGGTTGAGAAACACATGGAGCATGGGAAAAAATAAAACCAAGTTGTATTTTGAAAGGAAGCACAGCGTCAGCCATAGATCAGAGGGAGTAGTTTGGCAGGCAGAACAGCCTACGACTCCCACTGTGAGACGTGACATCTGCAATGGCCAGCTCCTCCAGCCATCACAACAGCGTGCCTCTCAGCACCTGGGAATCCCCTTGTGGGGAGCCTTTTTCTGCCACTTATTCCCTTCAAATGTGGTTCATTTGCCCTTAAGTCATGGCGGAAAGAGCAGGACTTGAGCTAGAATTGCTCATAGCATGTTCTGGAAGTTTCTCCTCTATAAAATTGAAAGCCTGTTTTTCAGAGCCATAAGCCACTACTTCATCCTTGTGAAAAATGAAGGGCTCTAATGACCCAGGCTGCACTTGTAATATCTTAAGAAAACTCATCCTACATCATGAAGTTCTCTTTGTGTAAACGGAAATTGGGAAATGGAATCTGAGAAGGCCCAGGAAATCAACCATTAAACATTTAATGTAGTTGTCTTGAAAATAGAATGCACAACGTGGTTAGAAAAAGGGGGTCACAATGAAGAAGTCATTTAAAAGCAACAGAGCTTGGACCAATTGTATTAAAAAACATGTGTTTCTGATGCTGCTTGATCTTTCCTGAAGCACGTGATCTAAAATGTGCGGATTGCGTGAATATTCGTAGACTCGAGTGATTTGCATGTATGTAACATGCAAGAAAATACCGAAACTGGCACAGGATCAGATTTCAAAAGGTGGAAAATTTCCAAAGAAAGCGATTTAGATGCTGAAACCCAGCTGCCTGGGTTTGAATTTTGGTGACACTGCTGACGATACAGCTCAGAACCAATTACGCTGTTTCTCCCTGACTGAACAGTCATCCATATTGGAC